TGACCACCCCTCACTTTAATGGAGGCACGCCCCCTCCGGACCTGTTATTGCTCCACGCGTTACCATGTCATTATCCTATACTTACAGCAGTGCTGCGCAGGGTTTGCCTTCAATACGATCAGCGCACGATAACCCCGACGTAACAGAACGCCGGCTGAGGAGCGCCTTCCTCCTTTTTTGCGGTGCTTCGGTTGGCCCTGCAGTGCCCCTGCTTTTGTGCCTCTGGATCGCAGTTCGCCCAAATTGCGGCTCGTTTGGCAGACCAGCTCGTGAGTGAAGAGCCGCCTTTTCTTTTCAGATCTGAAAGCACATCAAATTTAAGAAGAATTAACTACTAATAAAAGCACACTTGATTTGGCTATAATTCTCAACAGCTTCAACAACTACATATAATACTAGCTTTAAAAATTAGCAACAAAGACAGTTTAGGACTTTCCAATTTATTCTGTTCGTTAATCGTTGGTATGTATCCTACACATTCGTGTAGTAAAATTCCTATACACATTTCGGAAGACTACTACACGCGTAGTACAAGCAATACGGATGTAGAGGATGATGAAAAAAAGGGTCAGGAATAAACACTGTTAAAAATTCTGCACCGCCAGAAACAGAATTCATACAGATCGTCGACGATCGCGTATACTTCCATGCTACGGTCAAAATCTGTTCGACTGGTATTTGAGAGACAAAGACTTGACATTGCTGGAAAAAAACTTTCTTATAGAATAAAGTATAGTGAGCCTACAGGATTACCAGTCCATTACCAGTCCGTTCTGTTGTGATTTACAGTTGTAACTTTAAACAGTGCAGATTTGTTGTCCACCATGCATTAGTAATTAGATCACATGTCGCCAAGGTTTAACGGTAAAACTTTAACCCCACTAACCTCATCGCCGAATAACGCCGTGCAACATGTTTGCATGTACCAGGTGGCTGGATTCACGCCGCGCCCTCTTATACTGTACCGCTTGCACACGTGCGGGCGAGTTGCCTCAGGGGTATGCAACGCCAGCCGCGCGGCTGAGGCGATGCTCCGTCACGGGCGCGCGGCGCGGCGCGCGCTGCGGAGGACGAATTTTGCGATTTGTGCAAAACTTTGAGTGTAACGTTACCAAACCAACCATACCACTGCACGCTACAGATTGTCCTCTTTCTTCTCATACCACAC